TTATCATGTATAATAGCGTAAACCTTGCTGCTTTAGCTTCGCATGTGCTCACGCCATGGTGGATTGAAGGCGCGTCTGTATGACTAACAAAGAATGTTTTTGGTGCCCTTTTTCCAGCATTAAACTTCAGTCTACTCCGTGAGCGAAAAACGGAAGAAAACCTTACGTTCACGACAAACGCGTTAAATAACTCGTCACATCACTTGTCACATAACTGGTCAGGTATACAGGTTGAAGTTATGATCCCACTGTATAGCAAATACAGACTTACTCATCCAGGCAAAATAATGAAGCTTCTCGGATGACTACACTATGATCTACATAATACCACAGCCAGCAAAAGCTTTGGATCAAAGTAAATAGTTTCATGCTTACTTGTGAACGTTTTCGGCTTCTCCTCGACGTTTTCATCTGCCTTATTCGTCATCTTCATGCGACTTTCAACAGCCAAAATGCGCACTTCGTTCATTTCCATTTGCTTGTTGATCGTTTCCATTCTCAAGAACAGCGCAACAATCAGTAGAATTGGAATGATAGAAAGAACCGAAGAGCCTTTGCGAAAAATATTACTTGAGCATTTTGTGAGAGGTATCTTTAAACGGTTCATCTTAGTTTCAATGGAATTGGAGTGAACAGCTTTCCTGTTTAATAAACTCAACTGCCGCGAGATAGGACTTGTTTACTTGAGCTGAAGGTTCGGGCTTCCTGTGTAACTGATATCATAAAAAAAAAACACGTCCAGGCAAGATGTAAAATAAACTGCTATCAATTGATTTTTCTTTTATCGTGTCAGGAGGGTAAGAGTTCAGAAGCCCGGCCCGACGCCAGAAGGAATCCGTTTTTTAGGATGCGAGTGGTCTCGAAGGTGATTAAGTAATGAAGCGTTTTGAAATAAATCTCTCTCCTTTGATATTACCCCTCAGGGAGGAGGACCTGGGTATTTGCCAAGTATGTGCCGCTGGCCTCCCAGGACCCCTACCCCATTATAATTTATTTTTTTTTTGCCTCTCATAGATCCCATCTTAGCACATTTTCAAACTACGAATCTTCTCATTTCTAAATCTCAAACTACCATAATTTTCTCACCCCAAAATCTCTTAAATATGCGACTCCATTCTAGTAATTCTATTAAAAATGCAACCTCATTTTTAATCAATCCAGTCGTGAAAATGCGCGTCATTCAGCGGTACATGACCATAGGCATATTAAAAGGAAGTGGCCCCACCCCCCAAATTCGTTCATTTCCATTCGCTTGTTTATCGTCTCTATTCTCAACATCACTGAGCGCAACATTCAATAGACTTGAAATAATAGAAAGAACCAAAGAGCCTCTGCGAAAATCGTCGTTTGAACATTATACAGGAGGTCTCTTTGTAGAGAGCATCATTGCTCCTCGCGGCGTCTAGGGTCTTCCCACTTTTCCACCCTGAAAATTTGCATTTCCCGTGAATAATGATAAGGCTTAAGTTATTCTGTCTGTCAAGGCTAAGTAACTTGTAAACGTAAGACGCTTAGGCCGAATCAGGAGGCCGAAATCTACTAGTTGACCTCAATTTCCAAATAACTGGAAAGGTCGTTCTTTTTTTCCACTTTTTTATTTGAACTCAAAGGGAGTTGCTGTATTGACCTCATTGTCACAATGATCGATTAAAAAGGAAATGCTGCGTCTACTGCAATTATGCTGTGACCTGCGTGATTTTCGAGACATTGATATGAAACGAGCAATGTAAAACGCACAAAAAGCTTCTGAACATAGAATGAACATGAAAAATAGATATGGCGCCCTTGGTAGTTACATGGAGATGTTATTGAAG